CCCCCGTGAAAATCCGGGGTAGAATTGATCTTCAGTAGCCAATGCTTGTCGTAAGAGGCGACTAACAGGATCGGGTGGTTGCGCTCGCTGACTTGGTTGATGCATGTAATCGTATCCCAATTGCGTAACTGCTAATATCAATGATCATTGGATTGTCTGCTCTTGGCTCGACTATTCACAGACCGCCGTGGTATAGCTGTAACATTGTTGGGTGTCAGTCAGTCAGTCAGTCATACAGTCACAGTCAGACAGACAGACAGACAGACAGTCATACAGTCACAGTCAGTCAGTCAGTCAGTCAGTCAGTCAGACAGTCATACAGTCACAGTCAGTCAGTCAGTCAGTCAGTCATACAGTTATACAGTCAAAGTCAGACAGTCAGTCAGACAGTCAGGCAGTCAGTCAGTCAGTCAGTTAGTCAGTCAGTCAGTCATACAGTCAAAGTCAGACAGTCAGTCAGTCAGACAGTCAGGCAATCAGTCAGACAGTCAGTCAGTCAGTCACACAGTCAATCAGACAGTCAATCAGGCAGGCAGTCAGTCAGTCAGTCAGTCAGTCAAATTCGGTTTATAGCAACATTTCCCGTGGTGGAGTCGAACCTGGTCCTCGGTATGACGAGTGACGCTTTCACCACTTGGCTACCACTCCGCAAGAAATAAATGACGCAAAATAATTGGTTCAGTGCCAGATATGAATATCTGAACAAGGAGACGATCCCAGAAGGTTGTGTAATTAATCTCCTAAACAAGATAGTCGTTCGTTGTAAAACACGCTATAAACATAATATTGTTTCATGCTTCAACGGACGTCCAAAGTTTCATTTACATGACCTTGACCTCTTTCCCACCGCTACGTTGTAGCTTCCTGTAGCTCATTGACTTCAGATTACCAAGTAATAAGACAAGAATCGTGTGTCCATTTTCTGATTAGCCCATTGCCTGACCTTCATTATAGACGGAGCCTAGTTCGTTATCACATTTCGACACATGCCACCAAGCGTTAGCAGAAAGTGACGTCAGCAAGATCATACGCTTGTTCTAATCATTGAGAAGTTGCGGTTATGAAACATAAAACCAGTTTGATTCACCGCATATGTCCAAACTTCAGGAAAAACATCAAAACGACTCCATCTCAATCAAATTGGGTTCCATTTCCTTCAGGACCGCAATTAACCCATAATGCGTTCCAAAGCCCAGGGCAATAAAGAGCATTTTAACCCTTGCAAATTCACTTTGCATACTACTACAGTCTCGACCATAGTTTGACTGTACAAGCATGGGAGTTATTTTTTGAACCGATGCACACACTAGTGCCCCATTTGGTGTTTTTTTAACGGTGTGAAACACAATTAACAAGTTTTTCTATAGTGGTGCATGATAATCCAACATTCTCTTCCTTTTGGATAATAAGCCAATGTTTTATCATCGCCAACTCTCACGAGCGCTGCACCCGTGATGATTCCACGTTAGAATAGATCCCCGGCAACCTTGCCTGCAGCTGATCGTAAGAGTGAGTGAGTGAGTGAGTGAGTGAGTGAGTGAGTGCATGAGTGAGTGAGTGAGTGAGTATGGTTTTACGCCGCTTTGAGCAATATTCCAGCAATATCACGGCGGGGGACACCTGAAATGGGCTTCACACATTGTACCCATGTCGGGAATCGAACCCGGGTCTTCGGCGTGACGAGCGAACGCTTTAACCACTGGGCTACCCGACCGCCCCGTAAGAGGTGACAGCCATGTTGTCAGTCTCGGTAACTCGCTGATTGTGTTTCATCATACCCGACAGCGTAGATCACTGCTCTCAATATCAATCACTGGATTGTCTTGTCCAGACTCGATAATTTTACAGACCGCCGTCCTGTAGCTGGAATACTGGCGTTAAACAGATCGGCCTTAAACAGCAAACAAAACAAGAAAACTGCAACTAACATATTCTTTGTAATCAATCCGCATAGACTTGTTTGTTTGTTTGTTGTTTAACGCCGCACTCAGGAATATTCCAGCTATATGACGGCGGTCTGTAAATAATCGAGTCTGGTCCAGACAATCCAGTGATTGACATCATGATCATCGATCCCCGCATTTGGGATTCGATGACATGCATTAACCAAGTCAGCGAGCCTGACCACCCGATACCGTTAGTCGCCTTTTAGGGCAGGCATGGGTTGCTGAAGACCAATTCTACCCCGGGTCTCCACAGGTCCCGCATACTCAGGGGCGTTGTTATGAACATGTACATCACCTGTGCTATGTATAAAAGAAATACGCCACTTACTGTCTGTCATAGAGGTACACTGCAATCGCGGCTGCCCCAGTGTATGGTCCAATATAAGACGACCCGTGAAGATCCGGGGTAGAATAGGTCTTCAGCATCCCATGCTTGCTGTAAAGGGCGACTACGCTTGTCGTAAAAGGCGACTAACGGGATCGGGTGGTCAGGCTCGCTGACTTGGTTGATGCATGTCATCGATCCCAACTGCGTGGATCGATGCTCATGATATTAATCACTGGATTGTCTGGTCCAGACTCGATTATTTACACAGAAAATATGAAGGCTCTCCCTGTGTTACTGACATACGACGTAAATTAACATTCAACGATGTATTTCAAGACACAACTCTAAATAAAGACCCTGGCTTGTCTGACTAATGGACCCTGGCTTGTTTTATGTGACTGCTTTGGGAGCATTCTATATTTGGACCTTTAGCTTTCTTCTTTGAGTGATGACCTGGCTTACGTGTGGATAGCCAGACTGATTCTCTACCATCAACGCGGTCAATAGCTTCGAAACACACGAAGAACAATGATATATCGGTATCTTTACGATCAAAATAAACAATTCAAGTGTAGGAAGAACCGATGTAGACCAAAGGTCCAGGTATGGAGCCCACGATCATCTAAGGTGAGGTGAGGTGAAATTAGGTTTAACGTCGCGTCCAAGATTATTGCACTTACATAGCGACGTGCATGCACGTGTGTGTGTGTGTGGCTGCTTGTACTAGTCCGGACTGATGTCGATTTATAGTGCAAGCCCACTGAGATACCATGCCGCAGTTTAACATGAATACCCCACTCAGACACAGTATACTGACTCCGAGCCGACCAGTCCTAGTTTTAGCCCCTCCTTAATGCCGAGCGCCAGACAGGGTAACAACAAGTCTTTTAACGTCTTTTGGTATGACGCGGCTGGGGATCGAACCCCGGACCTTCCGCTCTCCAGGCGGACGCTCTACCACTAGACCACCGAGGCGGTCTACGATCATCTAAGATCACAAGCCTTGTCCCTGTGAGTGAGTGAATGTGTGTGTGTTTGGGGGGTCGGGGTGGGGTGGGGGTTGGCGTAGGGGAGGGTTCGATGCCTTTTGCACATTATCCATATGAGCAATCTAACCCGACTCTTCCTCGTCGTTACTGGTGAACGATCTACCCACATGTCCAGCCCACTTGGAAGTTTATCGCACATTGACCAAGCTGTTCGGTTCGTGCTTTCCGGTCATCGTGTGAAACTTAGGCACACGCACACGCAGGCACGCACACACAGGCACGCACACACATGCACACGAACACATAATCACTCATATCGCCAAGCGGTCTGCAATCAGCTTATTTTCTCTCTAGCTGTCCGCGTATCGCGAAAACGAATCCAAGAAGAACCCTTTGGTTGTGTTTGTCAAAACCATGCCCGTGCTTGCGGATATATGGTAAACATTGTATTTTCTACAACAAGAAGCAGTCTGATCGTAATAATACAGCTCATAGCGGTTTAAACCTAGTTCACACAATTACATTCAGTATTCAAGCGATCCACGCACATTGGTCTGACTCAATCTCATTAAAATCAGACCTTAGTTCTCGCTACCGCTAAACAAAGATCTGAAGATATCCCATTAGGGGTCAGAACGACCTTTCATCCGACCAATCAGAGCGTCGCTTACCAGATTATGAAAGTGACAGTCGAAAACTTTAACATGGGGTATTCCGAACGATAGTTACGGGTTTAACGACTGAATCCGTACAATCTAGACCATCTATTAGCCATTTCAGAATATTTTTTGTTCAGGTTTCAAATTTGAATTTGAGAATTTGTCAAAATATGTTTCGAAGCGTAGTCGCCAATATGAAATTAGTGCCGTAAAGCACGAGAAAGCTGCCTTCTGATTGGTCATTCCATTGATCGGTCAAAGTTCGCGCAAAGTCGGTCTGACGTGACCCGTAATGGGATGCCATCAGATCTTTGTTTAGCGTTAGCGAGAACTAATGTCTGATTTTAATGAGATTGGGTCTGACTGGCCTTTAACCCCAGTAAAACATGAGTAATATAGATTCTCATTATCCTATCTTCTGTTTCTGACTCTTGTGAATCCCCTCCATACCTGCAGCCCTATAAAAACCCTGTCAAATGCATCCACTGCACAAGATGCGTTATACAAGTCCAATACATTGTCCTAAATCAGGTTACTGCTGAGAAACAATTCACAAACAAATCCCGAGCGTGTAATGATAGGAAGAGTGACGCGTTATGCCACGCATAACTTACGACCATGACCCAAGGGAGACAACTACGTCTAGAGTTTGTTCTTTTATATATTATTTGGACATTACCACACATTGTTTGGGGGATATATGCTCGCTGGGACTTGAATACTCTGTCAATATAAGACAACTCACTTTTCAGATGGCTTTTATTTTCTGTTGATAAATAAATAAAGTTTTATGCTTCGCGTTTTCTGCGATTTGGTTACCAGTGTAATACATTAGTGTGGTTTCAGAGTTGCCACGACATGGTTGCATTTAAAAATATGCCAAGGCGCATACTGAAAATTTGCCAAATTTATTTCTTTATTGAGTTTTTTGCCAATCGACATTATCAAATATGATTTCTGTAAATCTTGCCTGAGTTCCATGTTTTATCTGAAAACTCTACATGTTTCGATCTTGTGCCATAGATCGGTGACATCAATTGCCTTATTACCGTGATAATATCTTTAATTTCCTTTCCAGGACGAGAAAAACCAAGTTCTGACAACAAACGTGTGGCTCGAGGCGGTGAGTACTGACAAACGCCCCTGTGTAATTTGTTCCTAGTTCACTTAAATGTTTCGCGTCTTTCAAATGATCTTCACCTTGTGCCCTCGTCAGGAAATCGAGTAACCGTAAGTGGATGCATTTCCCGGTTTGCTCAGGATGGTGTTTACACACATACGCCGCTGATGGAGTTTAATATTTGCTCGTAATTTGAATTAATAATTGCGTGGCCTTTCTGTCCTTACTCTCCCAACTTAGGGATGGTTGGGAATGGCGTGTTTGGTAGTGTTAACGTTATGTTTGTATTTTCGCGGTGAGAAAAAATAATTTTTAATAGTTTTATTTATTTTTATATTTAATTTAATCATTTTAACCATTTATTTTTAGTTTATTTTGTATTTTATTTTCTTAATTTGTTTTAATTTGTTAAATATTTTATTTTATTTTATATTATTTTATTATTATTATTATTATTAAATTTTATTATTATTTTTTTTTTTTTGGGGGGGGGGGGGGGGGGGAGGGGGAGGGGTCGAGGGGGAGTGGGTGGAGCCTCGTGCCACTTAAAAGTTCTGTTTAGTGTAAAATGTGTGTCACTCATGGAAAAACATCATGCAACTAAAAACCGAAACGAAACGGAAGTCAACGTTGGTACGAAGCATACTTCGTTTCCAGTGAATATCTCATAATATTTCAATATGCAGTGTGTATATATCGATACCCACTGTGTGTCTATAATCCTATATAAACCGAACAGATTTGGTGACATAATTGCTATTCAAAACGTTGCAATCTTTGCTGCAATTTTTTATTCCATTTTCTCCCGTTTTTGATTGGTGCCGTTTTGTCTCAATACCTCTTTGAATGTAACCCTTACGTTATGCGTGACCATCCGAAATGTTGCCCTACTGGCCTCCCATACATCGTCTCACTTCCCTGGGACAGGGCGATCGTTACAACAACTTATACCTCGCTCGATTTCATAATCAAATTGTTTGGGTCATTAACGGTAGTATCTGTTTATGGAAGGTGGGGAGGGCCACCATTATCTCAGCCTTGATCTCACTTCCCGTCATTCAACTGGCTTTTATTGAGATATTATGTCAAGTTGGATCAAGTCATATCAAGCCAATCAGACTTAGGCAAAACGACATACAACCTTTCCGATTATATAAGTTTATATTGGTTAAACGATAGTGTAGCGTGGGAACTGCTTGATTTGGGTCGGCCATTCCCTCCAAGGTGAAGGTTATGAAAGTATATTGGGAAGGTCAAGGTCACCAGTCGATCTCGACATTCAGTATTAAAGCTATAAAGAATACCAGTCTAGGCAGATTATTAATTTTTTATGTTATCCCTTCCAAACCGACTTGCTCCCAAAACCCAAATTCCAGACTTTCGGGTGAATGTCACACAAACGAGGTTATCTGGGAAGGGAGGTAATCTCAGGAAGACATCGATCAAAGGTATAAAAATGGCGCAACAGACAGGCAAATATTAGATGGAAAATGTAGGCCACGTGCATCACGTGATCTACGCTGATTCACAGATCCAGTGTCGACCTTGTGTTATTGATCTCATGCACGTGGATATAAGTATGGTAATATCTATGTTTCCCATCCAGGAAACAAACACAGAGAGGTTATTTGTTTCGTCTAATAACATGTTATCTCATCATCTGACCTATAAAAATTCATATATTCGCGAGTCAACTTTTCAGGTCGGGAGCAAACATTACAACGCGTTATTTGACGTGAAAATCCCAAGTTTATATTTATCGCGTAGTTTCTTACTGATCGAGGAGGCATGCAGACTGAAAGTAGTTCCGGCAAACACGCTCGCTGACATTTCAGAAATGACTTCAATATTTTTATTTCATCTATGGAGGTACAAACGTAAAAGCCGTTGTGCACACTGTTTATATACAAGTATGTTTACATCTCAATAAACGCTAAAACAGAGTGAAGTTAATCAATCAAATTACAATCAATCAAATTACCATCAATCAACCAACCAACCAACCACTCACTCACTCACTCACTCACTCAATCACTCATTCGGCCCGTGAAGACGCAGGGGTAGAATAGGTCTTCAGCAACCCATACTTGCCGTAAAAGGTGACTGTGCTTGTCGTAAAAGGCGACTAACGGGATCGGGTGGTCAGGCTCGCTGACTTGGTTGATACATGTCATCGATCCCAATTGCGTGGATCGATGCTCATGATATTAATCACTGGATTGTCTGGTCCAGACTCGATTATTTACAGACCGCCGTCATATAGCTGGAATATTGCTGAGTGCGGCGTTAGACAACAAACCACTCCCTCACTCACTCACTCACTCACTCACTCACTCACTCACTCACTCACTCACTCACTGGGTGGCTTGAGACAAGCTTTGCGTTATCCTGTGACGTTGTCAGCAGTCAGCGGCTTCACCCCATGTATGGCTCCTACAGTGGACATAGACTCAGGCCCGGGGAGACACTACACACGTCAATCACGATGGGATAGGATGTTTATATAATGTTGCAATGGTTTAAATCAGAGCAGTCTTTGTCCATCAACTGACAATGACCCTAAGCCCTTCGGATTTTTACCATGAAATTTTCTGGTATATGCAGAGTGTGAGTTTCAATCAATCAATCAATCAATCAACCAATCAATCAATCAATCAATCAATCAATCAATCAATCAATCAATCAATCAATCAATCAATCAATCAATCAATCAATCAATCAATCAGTCAGTCTCGCTTCACCTACATATTGTGAGTGAATGACTGATTGAGTTGGGTCATACGCCACTCTTAGCAATATTCCAGCAATATTACGGCGGAGGACTCAAAAGCGCTTTGTACCCATATAGGGAATCGAACCAGGGCCTTTGACGTGACAAGCCAACACTTCAACCAGGAGGCTAAGCCACCACCACAACAGGGTTGTAGTGACCATTTGCTTAATATGACCTCAAACTACTGGGAATTACATTATTGTTTTTTGAAATTTTAATATTCACGTTCAAGGGTATAACATTTTATATTGAACCGGGTAATCATTTGTTCTTATTTTTTAGATAAGATAACGTGTACGTCTTGAAGAAGTTAACCAACTTGACAGAGAGCTATTATACACGAAGACGCGATCGAACTGAAAAGCGTTTTTCATACGATTTAAGAAAGATATCATGTTTCGCCATGCAATGCAATTTCTCCAATAACGTTAGTCGCGTTTGATTGTATTTCTTCCGATAATCCAGCGATAAAAAGAGAAGCACATTTTTTGTCACAGCCATGCAATTTACCGTGTTAAAAACAATCGAAGCTTTACGTAAATCTAATTGTATGGAGAATATTAAGTACAGTCGTATCGAACGCTTTTCCTACATTTCAGAAGTCGCTTGTTTTATGTCAGCCTCTATCACTGTCGCGTGCATGAAACGAGTTTCGGTCTTTCCATACAGTAATTGATTGAATACAGCATTCAATTATTTCAAAAGAGTACCGCCAACATACGTCAATATCCAATAGGAGCAATCCTAACGAAACCTATGAAATACTCTTCAGAGCTATTTTCATGTTTCTAGGTTTTTCAGCACCATACCCGTGCTCATGGGTTTCACCGAAGTGGTAAACGCCTAAGACCTGCATCACTTGGGGCTTTCCTCCCACATTAAGCTGACACGCCGTGATATAACTGGAACACTGTTAAAAGCGGCGTTAAACCCAACTCACTCACTCACTCAGAACCTTTTACCCTGGCATTGGTCAAAAGAGTTCACGAACGAATTCTGCCTGTTATGGGATGTAGCACTGGCCACTACATGGCTTTGTCTTCACGGTAGGGTACTGGTTAAGGCGACCAATTCTCACACTAGTAAGTCGTGTGAGATATTTGAAAGAGGATCTGCCATCTGTAAAACGTGTCCATTTTCCAATGAAATGATACTGTTAGTTTGGTCTGCAATTTAACTTGTGAAAACATGTTTGTTATCATTTTGAGTGAGTGAGTATGGTTTTACGCCGCTTTAAGCAATATGCCAGCAATATCACGGCGGGGGACACCAGAAATGGGCTTCACACATTGTACCCATGTCGGGAATCGAACCCGGGTCTTCGGCGTGACGAGCGAACGCTTTAACAACTAGGTTAACCGACCGCCCCGTTGTCATTTTGAATTAATCTTTTTACGACAGGGAAAGCAAACCTATTATCATCACAGAATGCAACCTAGTGATTCTTGTAACGTATGCATGCTACCCTTTTCCTTGTCATGGAATGAAACATTTTATAAGCAGTGAATATGACGGCGATCTGAATCTTGATCAGACAACCCAGTGATTGCCATCTGTAGATAATCGAACCTGGATCAGAAAATCCTGTGATTGCCATCTGTAGATAATCGAATCTGGATCAGAAAATCCAGTGGTTGACATCTGTAAATAATCGGGTCTGGACCAGACAATCCAGTGGTTTACATCTGTAAGTAATCGAGTTTGGACCAGAAAATCCAGTGGTTGCCATCTGTAAATAATCGAGTCTGGACCAGAAAATCCAGTGGTTGCCATCTGTAAATAATCGAGTCTGGACCAGACAATCCTGTGGTTGACACCTGTAAGTAATCGAGTTTAGACCAGACAATCCAGTGGTTGACATCTGTAAAAAATCGAGTCTGGACCAGAAAATCCAGTGGTTGCCATCTGTAAATAATCGAGTCTGGACCAGAAAATCCAGTGGTTGCCATCTGTAAATAATCGAGTCTGGACCAGACAATCAAGTGGTTGACATCTGTAAATAATCAAGTCTGGACCAGAAAATCCAGTGGTTGCCATCTGTAAATAATCGAGTCTGGACCAGAAAATCCAGTGGTTGCCATCTGTAAATAATCGAGTCTGGACCAGACAATCAAGTGGTTGACATCTGTAAATAATCGAGTCTGGACCAGAAAATCCAGTGGTTGCCATCTGTAAATAATCGAGTCTGGACTAGAAAATCCAGTGGTTGCCATCTGTAAATAATCGAGTC